TCTGTATTACCAAGTACCTTCTCTGGTTCTTTACCAGGTGGTGTGACAAGAACCTTCATTTCTGAAGACTATGGAGCATTAGTCCTGCCTAGATTGGGCTGCTGTGGTTTTGTGTGGACAACTCATAAAAGCATAGCCAGGTGCTAATGGCTCACACCTATAATCCTAGCTACTCAGGAAGCTGAGATCTGAGGATTGGGGTTCAAAGCCAGCCCAAACCATGAGACTCTTATCTCCAATTAAGCACCAAAAAGCCAGAAGTGGAGCTGTGGCTCAAGTGGTAGAGTTCCTGCCTTGAGCAAACAAAAGCTAAGAGAGAGCCCTTCGGCCTGGAGTTTAAGCCCCAGAATGGACACACACACACACACACACACACAGCTCAAGACAGAACAGAATGATTCCAGAGGGTTACAGAAGTGAAGGACATTTCACTCACTCACTCACACACACACTTCATGGACAGTAGCACTACAAGGCATCCACTCGCAGACAGGCTCTTCCCCACTTCCTCCAGGCCTTGGGCTTTCTCCAGCTATCTGCTTTCTGTCCTCTAGATGGCGCCCCCGGACAGTGCTCCCAGTGACTGTGGGCCGGCCACCTTCCCAGACACTGTCTGTCTCCTGCCCCAGTGCAGGCCCCACATTTCCTTAGGAGAAACCCCTCTTCCTGGAGCCTCCGGCCGCCCTCTGCTCAGCCTCGGCCCCCCTCAGTCATGAGAATCAGTAAAAAAATATCCTATCAAAGAACTGAATGTCCCAGGTGGCTTTTCCCTATTGTCTCTCCAAGCTTCAAACCACCTTCCCGTTGTTTGTTTTTTCCTAGAGTAGTGTTTAAGCTATACCAGCGCATTTCACACGATTCCCACTTCCATCCTGCGTTGAGCATTAAATGGATTACGGCCAGGCGCTGGTAGCTTGTGCTTGTAATCCTAGCTACTTGGGAGGCTGAGATCTGAGGATCATGGTTAGAAGCCAGTTTGGGGAAGAGGAAAAAAGTCACAACATAGAGAGCGAAGGGGCTCACGCCGTAGAGGACTAGAGTAAAAAAGGCAAGCAAGGGCTGGAGGCCCTGAGTTCAAGCCCCTCATACCAACACGCGCACGCGCACACACACACACACACACACACACACACACACACACACACACACACACAACTGATTAGCTTATTTCTCGTTTTCTTTCCCTCTTTTTAATAGCCTGCATTGAGTCCCCTGGACTTTCCTAGATCTCCTGACTACTGTCATCCCCAAGGTCATGTGACCCTCTGAAAGGTCACACAGGAGTCCGGGACTCCAGTCACAGCTTTGGTTGGGTCCCCCTGGGGCCTACGATGGTAAATGGCCTAGAAGAGAATGTTGAGGGAGAGTAACCCAGGCAGTGAAGGGGAAGTTACAGAAAAACCTAGAAGGTCACACGGTGGAAGAAAAGATCCATGCCGGAAGGTCAGGGTCAGCCATCTCTGACTTGGAATCTGGCTCCTTTTGGTTTCATGTGGACAAAACTAAAAAGCAAAAAGCAAATGAGCCTGTTTCTCCTAAACATGCACTTGGGTTTTCCGAAAACCTTAGCTCAAAATTATTCTTTGCGAATGCTCACCTCTGTGTACAAAACAAAACTGGAACAGACCACAAGCATAGTTGGGCCAACAGGGAAGATAAGATTTCAATGAAATGATAAAAACAACAACAACAACAACAACCAGGAATTGTAAGAGAGTCCCAAATTATCTATTAGCTTCACCTTAAAATGCCCTTACCTGTGTGATGCTAAGAACTCACTAACCTTCCAACACTGCTAACCTGGCTGCCCAAAACATCACTAAGAACCCAGGAGATCCTGCCTCCCGCCTGTAGTCCCAGCTACTTACTCAGGAGGCAGATAGTTAAGATTCTTTTTTTTTTTGGGGGGGGGGTCCGGTCATGGGGCCTGAACTCTGGGCCTGGGCGCTGTCCCTCAGCTCTTCAGCTCAAGGCTAGCGCTCTA